GCTTGCGGCTCTCGCCGCGCGCGTTCTGCTGCCGGTGGCGTTTGCGCCCGTCGGGGGGCTCTTCTCCACCCAGGCGCGCGGCGCGCGCGCGCGCCTGCACCGCGGCCGCTGAACCCCCTCAGAAGCGTTTCCCTTCCCCCGCTCCCACAGGTTGGGTGCTGCCGTATTATGAGAGGAGGAGCTCCCGGCCCGTTTGCCCGGCCTTGCGTACACGGTGGCATTCCAGTCCCCGACAGTCCCCGATGATCCCTGGTGTCCCGCCTCTCGTCTTCGTCAACCGACCCGCTTGCCAGGCCCATACACAGCGGCCGTTAGGCCCCGATAGTCCTGGGAATCTTTGGTGTCCCGCCGCGTCCAAAGCGGCACAAACAACCTACACTTAGAGCAGGCTTATATGCGTTTGTAGCATAAGGGGTGCGCACAAGCAGCTATACAACGAGCGTGCACATATCACATGCATAAGAAGCCCACACAAGTCGTAATGACATGTTCACCATGCACACCAGAGTATGAAATCATGCACACACAACATGCGTCCTGAGCATTCGCAACAAGCACTGTCGCACGATGCACACATAGCACGCACACATCTGACATACTTGATGTCCGGGCATACGTACCACATACATAGCCACGTAGCCAGCATATCTCAATACCCCTTATACAGAGTGATCACAACATGCCCATTACGCAGCACACAGCAGCTTACAGTGCTCATATTGTATTGTCATGGAAAGCAACTTCAACAATTTTGCATTCAAACGATTCGGACGGACGTCCATGGCGCACCAATTTGCTTGCACAGGCGACACGCCAATAAATGGCATAAGCAACAAACGCCCGTAACGCCGCATACGACGAACAACACTGTGTTCTTAGTCTAACAGTAGGCACGCATAGCATACCCGAGAAACACAGGTAAGTGACAAGCATCAATCTTGGAAGAAAGGGAGCCAGGACGGTCCGTGGGGGAGGCCTCGGGATGAGTTTGATTTGATTTTGGTCGCCGCCTTCGCCCCCAGCGACCCCCCCCCCCGAACTACAACAACAACAACGGCTCCCGCCTGACACTTCTTCACGGTTCATGCACAATCACGCAGGAGTTCATCACAATTTATCCAGGAATCGCGCTCTCGCGTGGGACTTCCTCGCAAATTATTCGGACGCCGCACCGTCGACACTTAGGAATCACGCTTTCTGGCCTCTCACGATTTACCTCGGAATCTCCTCTCGCTCGAGACCTCACGATTACCTCGGATCTCTCTCGCTCGCTCGAGATCTCTTCTCTCCGCGCGGGGTGCCCGCAGATGGCGCGGGGGAGCTCTCGATGCAACCTCGCGCCTCGCTTTCCTCGGCCCCGTGCTTTTGTACTTACTTGGAGCTGTAACTAATCCATACATTTATGAATTTGCCAGGAGTTACTTTCAGGTTTTTCAGAGGTTACTTTAATGTTTTCCCATATGAGCCTCTTTAGCTGTCGTATTCCTTCACACATGTAGGACTGACGCTTCAGCGACCCGCCCGCTCGAGCCGGCCGTCTGGGCCCGCTCAGGGTCCGCTGGCCCGACCTGCCCGTCTGGTTTTGCGCTTGTTTTCTTGCTCCCAACCCCCTACTGCTGATCTCTCTCGTGCTCCATCCTTCTCCATCCCCCTTGTCCCTTCCCTCTCCTCCCTCCCTTCCCCTGTCATAGGGGCTTTGCGAGCTACACGTGGCCGTTAAGGAAGATGTGCCCCTAAGGCGGGTTACGATCGCAGACGAATATGCTGGGTATCCATGCATCGGGATATACATTATGAGTGACACGCGAGCAGGCAAGAGCGAATAGTCCTACAGTGTCAATTATTGTTGTTGGATATTGACTTTGAATGATTATTTCTCCACGCCCTATATACGCCTGGGTGCTCTCGACGCGGCGCTGGCATCATTTCCTTTTGAAATTGAGGCTCACGCCCAAGCGTTTCGGGGTACCGCCCAGACCGCCCCCAAACAACAACAGCAGCAACAACGGTAGCAATACTATCAATAACAACAACAGCAACAACAGCAGCAGCAACAACAGCAGCAGCAGCCGCAGCAGTAACAACAGCAGCACCAACTTTTTCCTTGCGATACTTCCTCAGGCTTCGGTCCGAGAGGTGATGGGTGGTCAGCCTGGTGTACGGTGTGTGCGTCCGCAACGGGATTGAACTTGTTTTTAGCACGGATCATGGGGCAGCGCACCGTTAGGAATATGCTCAGGGTTGTTAGATGTTGGTTCCTCGGTTCCTTGGTTTAGATTCCTTGCTGCCTCCCTCGGGTCCCTCAGTCCTGGTTCCTTGGTTCCTTGGACACGGTTCCTCGGTCCTCTTGTCTCGTTTCCTTGGTTCTTTGCTTGGTTCCTTGGTTCCTTGTTGTTGGTTCCGTGGTTCCTTGGTCTTGATCCCATGGTTCCTTTGTCTTGGTCCCTTGTTTTTTTTGGGACTTGGTTCCTTGGTGCTGGTTCCTTGGTTCCCTGGTCTTGGTTTCATGGTTCCTTGGTTTCCTGGCTCCCTGGTCTTGATTCCTTGGTTCCTTGTGCTTGGTTCCTTGGTTCACTGGTCTTTGTGTTCCCTGCTGGCTCGCCACGAAATGCCGAGCAATTCCAAGTAATGCCAAGCAACGTCAAGCAATGTCACGCAATGCCAAGCAATGCCCAGCAATGCGACGCAGTGTCAAGTTTTGCCACGCACTGCCAAGTACGGTCAAGCTCTGCCACGTAATGCCAAGCCCTGCCACGCAGTGCGCCCATGCAATGGGAAGCTTTCTCCCAATTGGGGTCGTGCCGGGTTCAGTTGTATGAGCGATCGATGGGGCCCCTCATGGTTCCTGGTTGGCGGCCTGTCATTGGGCATTCATGAGTTACCCAGTGGCGTACCGAAACCACCAGCAATTAGTCGAAGGGTCGACAGAAGTGTCCAGAGCGTTTTGATATCGACAGCCGCATCTTCGCGTAGACCCGACCTCCGCTGGACCTCCCAGGAGCCCCCAAAAGTGGCGACATGGGGAATACGATTTCTAGTCTGGGCACGTGGGGCGCGTCTTTCCGAGGAACCTGAGCTGCCGAACATGACGACGGTTGCGCAGTTGGTAGCTCTCAGGAAGCCCGAGATATTGCTTGGATTCGCGCAGCGTGTCGTCTCCGCTGGACCTCCCAGGAACTCACGAAAGTGGTGACAATTGCGCAGGGGGCAGCCCCCCAGGCGGCACGATGTTCAGGTTGGGCGCGCGCAGCGCGTCGTCCTGCTGGACCTCCTGGAAGTTCACAAACGCGGCGACACTTGCGCAGTTGGCAGCCCCCCAGTGAGCGCGAATTCCAGTGTGGGTGCGCTGTATCTCCCAGGAGCCTTCGAGCACGGCGACAGGCCGCGCAGTCAGCAGCCCCCGGTGAGCGCAAGGTCCACTTTGGGTGCGCGTGGCGCGTCCTCCCGCTGGACATCCGAGGACCCCCCAGGGAGCCGCGAGGTCCCAACTCTGGATGCGCGTGGCCGTCCGCTCCGCTGGACCTCCCATGGGGCCCGCGACAGTGGCGACAGCTGCGCTGTGGGCAGCCCCGCAGCGAGCGCGAAGCCTAGCTCCACTCCGCTGGGCCTCCCCAGGCACGCGAGCAGGGATGACCGCTGGAGCAGAAACCCCGGGCACGGAGGCGGGAGGACGGGGAGGAGCCCGGGCCCGCGAGCAGGGATGACGCTGGAGGGGAGACGGAGGCCCGGCGCAAGCAGAGCTCTATCCAGCACGAAGGCTCAGCCGCAGGGAGGGTTGGGAACAGCTGAGCAACGACTGACGCCTTCAGGAGGGCAATGGGTCGGACGAGCAGTCGCGCTGAACTACCTGCGCCGCGGCAGCTGCTGGGGTTATCCAGGGTTGCGGTCTCGCCCCGTAGGAAGCGCGCCCTCGCTCACCATTCCACCTGCTTTAGGCAAGACTCGCGCCCTCGCCTGAGACTTTTTCATTTTTTGCCGAGTGCGTTTTCATTCGAGAAGCATCCTGGCTATTTCCTCAGGTGTTGGGAAGTTGCTGCGGACTTCTCGCGATCTATTCAGGAGTCGCGCTCCCGCCTCCTCGGTGTGGTCGTCTGTGCCATCATGCCTTCCCTCACACAGTCGGGTGAAGAACTTTCCCCCAGAAGGGCTGCGCTTGCAGTCTCCCTCGCCCCCCCCCTCGCCGTCCCTCCCCCGCCTCCCCTCTGTCCTCCCCCTTCCCTTTCCCCCCCCTCGCTCTCACTTCCTCCCCTCCCTCCCTCCCTCCTTCCCTCCTTCCCTCCCTCCTCCTTCTCCTCCTCTCTCCCTCCCTCCCTCCCTCCCTCCCTCCCTCCCTCCCCCCCTCCCTCCCTCCCTCCTCCTCCTCCTCCTCCTCCCTCCCTCCTCCCTCCCTCTCCTCCTCCTCCTCCTCCTCCTTCCTCCTCCCTCCCTCCCTCCCTCCCTCCCTCCCTCCTCCCTCCCTCCCTCCCTCCCTCCCGGCGGAAAGACCCACGGGCGCCAGAGTTGGCCCCCCTCCCCCTTCGCCAAGGGGACCCGCGGGGACACAGTGGGGGGCTTTGAATTAACCAGCATGAATTACACCTGGGGCGGGGACTACAAAGCCGACACGACACTAGAGCAGGAGGAGGAGGGAGGAGGAGGAGGAGGAGGAGGAGGAGGAGGAGGGAGGAGGAGGAGGAGGAGGAGAGGAGAGGAGAGAGAGGAGAGGAGAGGAGGAGAGGAGGAGGAGGAGGAGGAGGAGGAGGAGGGGAAGGAAGGGGAACAGGCTGCCGCAGGGGCGGCCCGGCGGGGAAGGGGAGGCAGGAGAGGGCAGGGGAAGGGCGGGGGCGGGAGGGGGACGGGGGACGGGGGGCGGTGATGGTCGTGGGGGTCGTGCTGGGTGGTCGTAGTGGTGGCCGTGCTGGCGGCGGTCGTGCTGCCGGGCGGCCGTGCAAGTGATGGTCGGGCTGGGTGGTGGGTCTGCTGGTGGCCAGGCTGCTGGTGGGGCTGGAGGTGGTCTGCTGGCGGTGGTCGCTGGTGGCCGTGCCAGTGGCTGGTCTGCTGGTGGAGCCGGAGGGCCCTGCTGGTCGGGCAGGT